TCACATGTATCAACTCGTTATCCTCTAAAAATTTGCAAATCAATCACTGGCATAATTTATTATAAAGAATGTGACAAAGCATAAATCCTGACTGATAATGGCTCAAGGTGATCTCAACACATGTCTCGTGGAGTTACATATAGTCATGTTGAAAATTGTTTATATTGGAAAAAAATGTCAAGATTCCATTCATTTTGTGCAAACAAACAGTAGTTAAGTATTTGAATGCAATTCCTGAAAGATGGTTTCAAATTGTTGCACATTTTGAAATGTATGGACAATAAAGCTACTGTAAGCACTGAATGACTGAAGATACGGACGTAATATATATATGTCCCCCCTTGAAAGAAGTACAAGGGACCTAACCCAACAGATTGTTGCCTTTCCAAGTGACAGCAGAGAGTTAATCCATTGTTGCATCATCACTTGTGCACGAGATAAAAAAGTTTAGTAGATTACATTGTTATATGGAAACTGAGTTGATTATGGAAGTTAACCTATCTTAAATATTATGTTGGCAAGGGTAAGATAGATAAATGGAGCTTGTAAAAAATGTTTTAACTTGGGTGCACTGTTTGAAGCATATAACCTTTCTTTGGTAATATGTAACTTCTCTAAAGGTTTACAGATGAGTCATTACTTGTAAATGTGTGAGGTAATATGTAACTTCTCTAGGGGTTTACAGATGAGTTGTTACTTGTAAATGTGTGAGGTAATATGACTTCTGTAGGGGTTTACAGATGAGTTGTTACTTGTAAATGTGTGAGGTAATATGTAACTTCTGTAGGGGTTTACAGATGAGTTGTTACTGGTAACTGTGTGAGATAATATGTAACTTCTGTAGAGGTTTACAGATGAGTTGTTACTTGTAACTGTGTGAGGTAATATGTAACTTCTTTAGTGGTTTACAGATGAGTCTTTACTTGTAACTATGTGAGGTAATATGTAACTTCTGTTGGGATTTACAGATGAGTTGTTACTTGTAACTGTGTGAGATAATATGTAACTTCTGTAGGGGTTTACAGATGAGTTGTTACTTGTAAGTGTGTGAGGTAATATATAACTTCTGTAGGGGTTTACAGATGATTCATTACTTGTAACTGTGTGAGGTAATATGTAACTTCTTTAGGGGTTTACAGATACTAACAAATTGAACAAAAGGTGAATGTAGTCACTTCCGTATAGTTTAAAATAACGTTAATTCTGATACAGACAAAAATTATCAAGTCCAGCTGCTATCTTAAAATTTAAGTGGCTTTATTAGTTGCTAAAATAAAATAAAAAAGTTTCTCAACAGTTTTTAACAACAGCATCAATATTGTGTTATGACAAAACTTTTAGATTGTGCTTACCCAATTTGCAAAAGTTTGGACTAAAATGTTCACAAGTTGTATACCTATAGGAGATATATCTAGTCAGGTGACATGAAATTTCAAGAAGAATTACACTTTAAATTGATTATTTTTATATGTTCTATTAAATTTAATGAAATGAAAAGGATAAAAATAAGGACTACTTATTGTATTGTTTATACTTACTGTTTTCATTTTGGGGAATTGCTATGCATCTTTCAAAGGAAAGTATCGGAGAAGGCTTAACAAATTATTGTAGTGTGATTCTTTCCATAAATGTTTTCTGTTGCTGCCAGCTTTTTTTTTTCTTTTTAAATAAATTTGACCAGTGTTTAAAGATGGTCAGAATATTCATAAACATGCCTGGATTATCAATTGACAAATAAATGTTGGCATCTGTTTTGTTGAGCATTGGCTAAACTAAAACCCACTTCCCATTTTGTGTATGATTAATTCATAGTTTCTGGATACTAGCAATTGGTGTGTTCACAGGAAAATGAAGTTTCACAATAAAAAAGGATAACAATACTTAAACAAAACATTGTTTATTTATAACACAAGGGGACACAGATAAACATTTCAGAATTCAACAGTTTCCATCTTCAGTATCTAAAGCAATATATAAGAATTACAGTAATTTAATCAAAACTACAACAACATAAAAATTAAATGAGTAACAAACAAAACATTGTACATATTAGGAAATGTGTAATCTAAAGGAAGACTGCATGTTGTTTAGTATTGGTGAAAGTTGTTTGATATGGAGGGTTTATTTAATCAGTAATTCCAGATCAGTGCAGAGGATATTGTTTAGTATTGGTGAAAGTTGTTTGATATGGAGGGTTTATTTAATCAGTAATTCCAGATCAGTGCAGAGGATATTGAAATTTGATAAGTTCATGTCCCGTTTCTTCAATATGTTGGCATATAGACGAAACACTGGGGTTACTTAATTTTTTTTGTTTACTAGAAATTCCCATATGTTCATTGGCTTTAGCCAGTAGATGGCACTTGATTTTGACAATATAGGAGGCCTTACGGTCTCCACACGTGTAAATATATACAAACCAAAAACAAAGAGAAATTGGGAGAAGGTTTTAGTACTGAAAAAATCTTGTATGTGGGATGTAGGACTAAAAACTAATCTGAAATCAACTTGGGGGGATAGTAACGATGGATTACATGTTGAATTTGATTTTTTAAAGTTAAGTTTTGTTTACCAGTGTGTGGAAGACGAGTATATAGTAAGTCTGGGTAGATTAGTAAGTTGGTTAGTTACAAAAGTATTAGTAATTTTTTATAATAAATGTTGTGGGTAGCTATTACGTTTTAAAGTATCCTGTATGAACAAAATGTGAGAGTATAAATTAAAGTACGTAAAACACAAGTTATAAGCTCTTATTTGTTAACCATGTTACCAGATTTCTTTTGTATGTGAATGGGATAAATCTGTTAAATTGTGTTAGGAGTCCAGTAGATATCTTTTATTCTGTATGTTGATGTGTCAAGTCTACTAGTGTTATGGTTAATGAGAATGTAAAAAAGTTAAATTAATATTATTTTCAACTTCGCAAGTGAACTTAATGGCAGGATGTTGCAAAAAAAAAGAATTTTATGAAAATTATTTTATTAATAAATTTAAAACTACATTAAATGTCACATACAAAGGGAGTTTAAAACATATATAAAGCTATAAGGAAAAAAAAGTGTGGGAAGTTTTACATTGTTAAGTAGGTCCTGTTTGAGAAAGCTTTATTGTAGAAACTGAAGAGTATCCTGGATGATACGAAACCAGTATTTTTATGCTTTTATGTATTTGTGGTTTTAATCGTTTCTTTTAAATTAACAGTAATAAATAAAGAATTTTTTTTAATATTTTAAAAATCATTTTCATATTGTTTCCTTTTTATTAATCACTTCCTTCAGCAAGATACATTTGTTTCCTTATATGTATAAATACTAGCCATTTGGTTATAAAATCAAGTCCATGCACCATTCCAGTATAGTTCAGTAATCCAGCTCCTCACATAGCTACAGTGTATAAATATTATATATATATATATTACAAGCAGATACATAACATGTGGTATGTTGATCACCATATATCATAGTGATCGTACATGCAGTACCACTATCAATTATAACATTGTGACAATGATATCGGGAGCAATAGCCATCCAATCTATATAAACCAAATCCAAAAATTGTCATTGTTTTCTGAGAGAGAATCGTATACCAACTACGTATTTCATTAAATTAAACTGTTTCAGAGAAGACGGTATTGCTCTTATACAGACTTGTGTCCATGATGGACTTAAAACCTGAAGAAACAAGATTAATAAAAATTGTAAATTTCCAAGAGGGAATAGGATCTTCAAAAAATACAGAAACAAAATAAGTAGCTTAAAGTGAAAATGCAACCATAAAAAAAAGAAAACAATCGAGTTTAAGGTTTGAGACATAGTGTTGACATCTCCTCAAGCTACAAAACTCTATTCTGACTGTGTGTCTAAAAGCTGTAATATTTAGGAGAGTCAAAGTAGGGACTTGTAGCTTGAGGAAATTATGGTTTGTGTGTAAAGGTGTATCTTTTACCTTATTTGTGGATATTAGTGTGTATCGTTTACCTTATTTGTGGATATTAGTGTGTATTGTTTACCTTATTTGTGGATATTAGTGTGTCTCGTTTACCTTATTTGTGGATATTAGTGTGTATTGTTTACCTTATTTGTGGATATTAGTGTGTATTGTTTACCTTATTGTATGGATGTTAGTGTGTATTGTTTACCTTCACTAACATCCACACAATTACACACTAACATCCACACAATAAGGTAAACGAATACACACTAACATCCACACAATAAGGTAAACAATACACACTAATATCCACAAATAAGGTAAACAATACACACTAATATCCACAAATAAGGTAAACGAGACACACTAATATCCACACAATAAAGTAAACAATACACACTAACATCCACACAATAAAGTAAACGAAATACACACTAATATCCACAAATAAGGTGAACAATACACATTAATATCCACAAATGAGGTAAACGATACACACTAATATCCACACAATAAGGTAAACGATACACACTAATATCCACAAATAAGGTAAACGATACACACTAATATCCACAAATAAGGTAAACGATACACACTAATATCCACACAATAAGGTAAACTTTACCCTGTTTTTATTGTGTGGATGGCTGTGTGCATCACTTATTGTATTCCTATCGTGTATCGGCTGTAGTGTTGAAAAAGTTCAACATTTTTTCTTTTATAAATTGGGGTATTCCATTATAAAATCAATGATGTATATGTATTTATTAACATAATTTACATGATCTTACTTATTATTTCATCAGAGTATTTGAGCGTGTTTTATATTTACTAATCATTTATAAGAACGTTTGAGTGAAAGTAAGTTTATAATAATGTTAACCAATACCATCTGCTTTCTCCAGACCTTAGCCTCGTATAAGGGTCCACATTATTAATTAGTACATATGTCTAGTGCTTTGTATAATTCATTAGCTTACTGAAAGTACAGCAAATCAGATATATCTTTACTAAAACTTCACCAAAATGAAAATGTTATGAATTTAATGAAATAATTTCTTTCTGTAGGAAGTTACTTTTGTCAGAAGGAGATGATGGGACAGGAGGAACTAATTTAAGTGAGAGCTTTTCACTACAAGAAAAGAATTCTCAAGGAACGGATGAGCAGAAACCTGAAAGTAAGAAGTTGTGTTAACTGACAGGAAAGTAAGAAATGAAATAACACATGTTGAAAACCACAAGTATGACATGCATTTGGAATAACGAGCATCTTAACTTAAAAAAAAAGTTTTAATTGCTAAAAATTAAGGAAAGAAATGACAACTTATATATATTTCTTTTTAAGAGAAGTTACATTAACTAGAAATGAGAAAGCAGGAGTATTAATAAGTATGTCTTGCTGAAAGACAAAATAGTAAAAATATTGCATGTGTGTTTTATAACTGTTACTCTTGTGTTTAAACATGTACCAGATTCTATTTTATTGTTTTGATGTTTAGGCAAGAAAAATTTGTGCACATATATAATATTTGTTTTTTCTATTGGTGGGGGATTTATAGGAAAAGTTTTAACCATGCCTCAGTTAGTGATCAATAGCAGTGAGTGTATGGTGTATCTGGGACCTGAGAAGGGCTCTCGGCCACGTTCCAAGATATCAGGTTAGAAGATGTATACAAAACTTTATATTTAACATAGATTAGAAATGTTGCAGGTATTTAATTCATGAAATCTTGTGAAAGAAAGTACTAACTTAAAATGTGAAATGTATTTTATCCATTTGTTATGGTAAAATAAAATAGTTGCCTGTTTGGTGAGTTCTGTTTACTCTGTCGATGCTTAATGTTAGGCTATCAAACCTTTAATGTTACTTACTAGTGAATATTTATTTTTCAGATGAAGAAATTGCTACTATGACTGTAAACTGTACAGCGTGTGGTAACCAAGTGAATCATCTCGACCCTGCAGAAGTTAAGAGACATATTAAACTTGGAGTGTTATTATGTAGAGTAAGTTTAAAACTTGGTGTGATATTAATTGCATGAGAAAAATGTTACGGTTTGAGGGA